TCTGTGCTCCAACACACAACCAGTGCATCCACTGCTGCCCAGGGAATGTAGTGTGGAGAGAATTACAATAAGGGCTAATGGCAACATCCAGGCTAGGCCAAAGATGTTGTTTGCTAAAAAGCCCAATGTGTCTTTGACATGACATGGGTGTCATTTGAATCACAGTATATCTAAAACGCTCTGGGTTTTTTTTTTTTTCAGTGTGGCAGGTTAATTGTGAATGCACAGGCCACTCTGGGCATTAAAACATGGCTTTGAGTTAAACCAGTTTAAAGTAACACAAACTTTTAAATAGGTAGCCTTACTGTCTTTAATCGTCTTTTACCAGTGAAACAGATAATCAACCCATGTAACCTTTGCCTCCCAAGAAATTAACTTTTAAGATTCTTTTTAAAGGCATCAGTGGCGCCAAAATATATGAGCTGACACTGCTTATGCTGAATGCTGCAGGAGCTTGGGTTTGAATCTGCCTCAGACCATTTCCTGTGTGTCATTCCCCCCTCCCTGCTTTCCTGTCTGCTTTCGGTGCTTTCCTATCAATAAAGGCAGAATGCCAGAAATGAATGTTAAAAAAGACAACAGTGAAACACAAATAATGGTCCTCGTCACCATAACCAAATCTGTTATGTTTCTCCAAATTAGTTCCAAACAGACAGCGTCGTTGTGTTATTTTATGTATGCTAATTTAACATGACTTTCACACATTGGCCACAACATAAAAAACTGTGACAGAAGCAAATTCAAATGCAGTCATCTGAAGGGAAACCCTGAGTAGTGGACTTTAATGTGATTTTTACCTTGAAACATACCACCCATCTTAAACTTTTTGGAAACCAAGGAAGACAGCACTTCCAGCCAGAATCCTCAGGACTTGAGGAGAGTTAAAGGCACAGATCCCAACATCACTGAGCATCCAAAGTACACGTCGGAGCAAGCCTGCCCCATGGAAACCCTGCCCACAGCACTCAAAGTATCCGCTTCCAATATCCTCTTTCCAAGATAACACAGGGGAAATTCTCAGAAATCCTGTGTCTGTGCCCTACTATGTCATACCTTTTTTTGTTAGCATATGGGTAAGTTACAACATAGTCTCTGTAGTTATTCATAACAGTACTTGCTGTCTTGGCTGAAACACCTTTTAGTGAAGGTTACGAATGATCTTCTTACTGCCTCTGACAGCGGACTCGTCTATGTGCTTGTCCTGCTAGATCTCAGTGCAGCTTTCAGTACTGTTGATCATAACATTTTATTACAGTGATTAGAGCACGCTGTAGCTATTAAAAGTACTGTGCTGCAGTGGTTTATATCATGTCTATCTAACAGACTCCAATTTGTTCATGTAAATGGAGAGTCCTCTTCACACACTACGGTTAATTATGGAGTTCCACAGGGTTCCATGTTAGGACCAATTCTGTTTACATCATACATGCTTCCTTTAGGCAGCATCATCAGAAGGCATAGCATACATTTTCACTGCTATGCAAATGACACCCAGCTTTATCCATGAAGCCCGATAACACACCAAGTAGTTAAACGGCAAGAACGTCTTAAAGATACAAAGACCTGGATGACCTCAAATTTTCTGATTCTAACTTCAGATAAAACTGAGGTTATTGTGCAGAGCCTTCACCTCTCAGGCCCTTCTTCTGTGGAACCAGCTTTCGGTTTGGATTCTGGAGACAGGCACCCACTCTACTTTCAAGAGTAGGAACCAGCAGCAATAGATCTAAGGTCCTGGGGCCTCCAGTGATGCATGGAGTGTTTCTTCTTCAGTCACCTTTTTCACTTGCAATGTGTTTATACACTGCTCTGCATTTAATTATTATTTGCTATTATTATCTCTGGCACTCTTCGATAGCATATCTTTGTCCTGTCTTCATCCAGTCATCCCCAACCGGTCATGGAAGATGGCTGCCACTCCTTTAGCCTGGTTCTGCTGGTTTCTTCCTGTTAAAAGGGAGTTTTTCCTTTCCCATGTCGCCAAACTGTTTGCTCATAGGGGTTCATATGATTTCTGGAATTTTCTCTTTTGTCTTATTGTAGGGTCTTTACCTTACAACAGCGGTCCCCAACCCCCGGGCCTCGGACCGGTACCGGTCCGTGAGTCGTTTGGTACCAGGCCGCGATAGTTGAGGCTCAGGTGTGAAATGTATGGTTTTCAAGGTTTTTATCGGTTTTCAGCGTTATTTTGTTATCGTTTTTATCGTTAACTCGGTTTTCCTGGGTCTTTTCATGTGTGTTATGAATAAATCTTCTTTTTTTCGGTACCGGTACTAGTTTTATTTTGTTGTATTTATCCGCGACACCTTAAAGGCCGGTCCGTGAAAATATTGTCGGGCATAAACCGGTCCGTGGTGCAAAAAAGGTCGGGGACAGCTGCCTTACAATATAAAGTGCCTTGAAGCAGCTGTTGTTGGGATTTACAAACACTGCAAGTACTGTTACAGTACTTGCAGTTACAGTACAGTTAAATTCCCCATAAAGATACTTTTATAAAGTATCTTCATAAAAGTATCATTAGTTATACAAGAAGCAGGCCTAAATGTTTACTCGCTGTCACTCAAAGTGAATGCTGGAATAACAAAAAGGAATGTTAAGATGATCATTACCCACTTTGTATTACCATTATACCTCATGCATCATCAATCAATAGGATGTTATGGCTCACAGCGTTCGCTGTTTTTCATCACGGCCCTGGCTAATAACTCATAAGGTTGCTTCAGCACTGTAAAGAAGCAGCGTGTGCCAAACCAAGGACAGACTGAGTCTGGGTTATGTCTATTGAAGGTTAAGTAGGGGTGTGTTTTAATCTATTTATGGCTAATTATATCTCTGTGTGGGTCAGGTTTGTGTGCGGGCGTGTAAGAGAACAGTTCGTTTGCAGGGGTTTAAAAAGCTGGCAGGAACATTAAGTTTAGATGTTTCTGTTTTTGAGCATGCACACAGTTTCGGGGGGTTTCATTTGGCCCGTCGCACTTGGAAACATGCTTGGCAACCAATTTCTTCGTAATGCTTTGCTCGTTGGACTGTGGCAAATTGAAAACTGTTTGATTTCATGTTCGTGTTTTTAATTATTTCTCCCACGTTGGTCTCTTGCTTCTCTTGCCTTCACTCCTCACCTATCCTGCTTTTTTTTTCTTTCCTCTTTCAACATGGTTCTCAGTAGCTCTTCTCTAACATTTTTCTCTCTCTGTTTTTGCAGGCCTCATCGCAGCAGCTGAAATTCACGACCTCTGATTCCTGTGACAGGATCAAGGATGAGTTCCAGTTTCTTCAAGCACAATACCACAGGTGAAAACACTGCTGCATGCAAACAAAGTTGAAAAGCTGTACATATGACAGCCTATTAAGTGCAGCTCTTTTTAATAAGGAATATATCCCCAGGCTGTACATGTGTATTTTCAGGATTTCTGTTTATTGAACATACTGTGTTTGTGTACCAGTAGCCGGTATGTTAAACATATAAACTGAGCTGCGTTGTGGCAACAAAAACCTACCATTTCTTGGTCAGGAATGGCTTTTAATGCGGATGTATGTCCTATTTTCTTTTCTTTTTTTTAAACACTTTGTTTTACATCATGTAATCACTAACAGTAACACTCTACAGCAGGGGTGTCAAACTCAAATACACAGTGGGCCAAAATTCAAAACTGGAACAAAGTCGCGGGCTAACGTTAATATTTATTGAAAAAAAAAAATCTTCCTCCAGATATAAGAATGAATCTTTTCTTATGGACTCAAACACGTTTTGCTGAAAAACTGAATATTGAACAAGCAAAGCTTAATACTAAACAATATATATATTAGCTGTATAATACCAGTAGGCCAGCTCTGATAGTAATTTGGTATGGCTTCGCGGGCCAAATGTAATTAGGCTGTGGGCCAAATTTGGCCCGCGGGCCAGAGTTTGACACCTATGCTGTACAGCTAGCTAAAACCCAGGGACAGCGAAGTACTTTATATTTGTGAGCATATTCAGAGAACATTTACTGTCTTAATATTAAATAAATTCAGATAATAATAGTGATAATTAATTTTATAGGAATTGTAAAGAAGTGGAAAACAGAGGGTTTGCTGATGGTTCACGTCCTCTTAATTAAATTTAATTGAATACAAAGAATTAAAAAAATATGATAACAGTGCCAGGGTTCAGTCAGTTCAGACTTATAAGATGAATGTTTGCAGCCAAGCACAGTGTGAACTTGAAGAGAACCCTTCTGTGGTAAGAAAAAAATGGAGATGTGTGCTTTTGTTTCAGTAGTATCTCAGCTCTATTGCCATACTGCACACTAAGGAAGCCTTTATTGACTCATACCTAAATCAATCTCGTTTACCCTCGGCTATTGATCTTCCTTTACTGCTTAAATACCGCTACAGCTCCAGAAGTCTGAGGTGCTTCCAAATTCCGACCTTCACTGATCTGTTTGATAGCTGTTGTAAAGAGGAGGGATGCCACGGGGTCTGCATCAAGAAATCCACTCTTTGTGCGAGTGGAGTCTTTGAAGCCTGTCTTCCTTCCTGAGGAGGTTGGTTTGTTCCTCTGTACCTGTACTCCCAGAACCTTCCAGAGGCTTGCCTCAGCCGGTTACAGACACAGGCAAAGGCAGATGAAAGAGTAACACATTGTGTGTAAAATCCTTGCTCTGGTCTGATCGCTTTTGTTTGTAGGGGATTCTAAAGCTGCAGTAATGCCCTGTGCGTCTTTTTCCTCGACTTTGGTTTTTGTAATTCCCACAACAGTGAGCAGCACCATTTAACCCCCTTCAGAGAGTCACGGCGCAGTTGAAAGAATGCCTTTTTTGTCTGAGCATACAGAACATGCATACAGTTCCTATTGACTCAGGAGGGGAGCTAGGATTGGGTGGGGGGCTTGGGAGCCATAGACGAGGCTTTGTAGTATTCTGCTGAGCTGCGTGTGTCTGTTGCTGAAGACTTTAAAAGGCAAATGTACCGCAGGCGTTCCCCCGGGTATAGTACCGAGCATTGTAGCTGTCGCTGTCTTCTTCTTCCCACCCGACAGCCCACCCTCCTTCCCCCGTCTCTTCTCCCCTCCCCTCGTTCACATGCATAAATAGATCAGGGAATACATAAATCAAAATAAAGATGACAGCAGGAGCGATTTAGAGGCGGAAGAATCGGCAATAAAACTCCATCAAAGTGTCGTTTGAGAACAGTGGCGCAGGCCCGGGGGCTGCTGAGCACCAATCAGAGGAGGCACGGAGCCAATCCCAGGTAGGCTGGCAGCGGGGACGCCTGTTGTCATGACAACCCACCATACAGCCTACGCATGTACACAGGGATGGCGCTAAGGGTTTTATGTAAGTGGGAAGGGGAACATTTTGGGCGAGTGGAGGATGCTCGTACGAAAACAGGATTAAGGATTAAAATCAGCAGCCCAAAGGAAAAAAACCTTAACACATGTCGGTGTTATCAGGTTGGACATCTGTTGCTTACCAAGGTGTGAGCAGTCGTAACCAGATATCCTTAACTTGGACCAGCCAACAAGTGCACATCTTTATTTTGCTTGGTTGCATTTTGGCTGCAACTGTTCTCAATTTCTTCGTATCGATAAAAAGAGTTGGATGGTTGATACGATAAATGTTGAGTGTTATTGCTGCAGAGTGCATTTTCTTTTAAAGCGGGTCACTGTTTACATGTTTTATACACGTGTGGATTCTTGAGAAACATTGTTTTCCGCAGCAAGAACCAATCATTATATGAGTTTAAATATTATGGCAAATAAATAATAAAAATAAAGGGCATTAAAAATGTTACTGATATGAAGACCTCAAAGCTGATATGGGAGGCTGGATTTTTAAAAAAAGGAAACCTCAGGCATGACAAATGTCAAACTAAAGGTAATAAATGGAAGAACGAAGAAGTAGCCAAAAGGAGAAGCTAAAACTTCAGAACAACACAGAGACGTGGAGAAAGACAGAGGCAGTAACCCAGACAGGAAAACAGCCAAGCAACTCAGATGAACTGACAAGTAAAGGAGGAAGAGACCATCTATAAATACACGGAGAAGACTAATTGGGAAAGAAGACTCAGGTGAATCTAATGAGGGCAGAGCAGACGAGGGGAAAATGCTAACACAGTAAGGCAAACCAGCACGCAAGACACACAAGGTGACTTATTAACATAAAAGCAGGAAGTAACAGGGTTACAGAGTTGTTAACAGAGTTCAGAGTGACAGAAGACACACATATAAAAGGAAGGGAGACAGAAAAGGAAACACAGGAGACAGAGCGGGGGGAAAAAGGTAAACTGTTTGGCTGTTAGCGTTTACATTACGAACAGCTGCTGTGAGAGCACCATGAGAGCTGAGATAAGACAGAAAAGGATGTTTCTATCTACTTACAAACACAGATATCCCATCATCAGTTACAATAGTGCGAAAAAATGTAACTTTTAAACTTTAATATATATATTTTTTAACGTTTTAGTTTTGATGATTATGTTCTTATAGCTCATGAAAATGAGAAATCCAGTTGAATAATGTTCAATTTCCTTATACACTCAGTACTTGGGGGTCCTTTACTGCAAATTATTGCATTAATGCGGCTTGGCGTGGAGGTGGTCAGCTTTTGGCACTGCCAAACTTTTATAGAAGCTTTGATAGTAGCCTTCAGCTCATCTGTATTCTTGGATCAATTGTTTCTAGTTTTCCTCTTGACAATGGATTTTCAATGTGCTTCAGGTCAGCGGACATGGCTAGCCAATCGCAAACTTCTGCAAAATAATGTTTGCTGACCATTAATAATATGTTCAGCAAATGTTTTGGCATGGATGCAGTTGCTAAGGTCTGCTGAAAAAGAAAAGCAGCATCTTCATAACTTTTGCCAACACATGGAAGGATAAGGTGCTTTGAAATCTCCTAGTAGATGGCTATATTGACTTTAGTTCACTGTGTTTTATCAAGTCCAATCACCAGCAGATGACATGGCATCTTATATTTTCACAGACTGTGGAAACATCACACTGGACATCAAAATCCAACCTTACTTTCTGTGCCTCTGGTTTCCAATGAAATGATACATTTACTTTGAAACGCCGAGTATCTGTCCAGTTCCTTTTCTCCTTAGCCCAGATAAGAACTTGCAACATTGCATCTGGTTCAGGAGTAGCTTGAGATTAGAAATGTACTAGTTGTAGTTCCTTTCCTGAACATTTCTGTGCGTGGTGGCTGATGATGCAATAACACCCGCCTCAGGTACTCCTTGTAAAAACTCTCACAAGTCTTCAAGTAACTTAAAGAAGTCCAGACGCTTTTCTTTGCAAGCTCCTTTTGACCACAAGTTCTCGAATCAACTTTCCTTGACAGTCCACTCAACGTTGCAGCCGTCCTTGTTTCTTTTTCTGCTATGCTTTTCCTTTCTAGTCAGCTCTCCATTAACATGCTTAAATCCACTTTTCAGTAATGACCTTCTGTGGCTGTGGGATTCACGATTGTCATCTGGATAAGAGTCAAGTCAGCAGTTTTTTTCCACAATTGTGGTTGTGTTTAATGAACTAGACTGAAGGGGCCTCTTCCAGTGCTGCTTTTATCTGAACAATGTGTTTGTTTTTCTTCACCCTGGCCTTTTGTAAATTGTATCTACTGGTAGGATGTTTTATTTTTTTTGGTGCACGTTTTTTCTTCTGTCTGCCAATGGTACCTTGGATGGATCGGCATTGGTCTTCTTCGCCTTTCCTTAACACCTCTGTCTTCTGCTGCCCGAGGCACTCTCACTGCTTAGCAGCAATCCTTGCAGTTCACCCTAGGAGGGCATCTTACTATTCATGACTGCTCCACACGTCCTGGATAGTGGTATAGACATGAATCTTTGTTCCCTCTTCTGTTTTTTTTTTTTTTCTGGAAGATCCTTGGAGTTTCTCAGCACCTGTTTCATCCACTGAGTTTGTGGCTTTCCTTGCCTTGTCATCAAGCCTTATTTGTTTAGTCTTTACAATGTGCAGTCATGAAATTCAATCTGAGGACTCTGGAGACTGAGATGTAGCTCTTGGTTGATGAGTTAATACATTTATTTTGATTAGCAGCACCTGGCTGCTACTTAACATCCTACTTCCTATAGAAGCAGTAAGGAGTTCACAGCCCTGCATAGTACTGTGAAAACTTGCTTTTTCTATTGCCAAGAGTATTCACTTTTCTGCTTTCACGCATATGAACTTCAGTGACATCCCGTTTTTTAATCCATAGGATTTAATATGATGTCAGCCCACCCTTTGGAACTATAACAGCTTCTGCTCTTCTGGGAAGGCTTTCCACAGGGTTTAGAATTGCGTTTATGGGAATTTTCTTTTTTTTTTTTGTAACCATTCTTCCAGTAATGCATTTGTGAGGTCAGACTCTGATGTTGGGCGAGAAGGCCTGGCTCACAGTCTCTGCTCTAAATCATCCAAATCAGGTTTCGGTCAGTACTCTGTGAAGATCAGTCAAGTTCTTCCAAGCCAAACTCGCTCAACCATGTCTTCATGGATCTTGCTTTTTGCGCTGGTGTGCAGCCACGTTGGAACAATAAAGGGGCATCCCCAAACTGTTCCCACAAAGTTGGAAGCATGAAATTGTCCAAAATGTCTTGGGATGCTGAAGCATTAAGAGTTCTTTTTTACTAATTAAGGGGTTGAGCCCACCTCCTGAAATACAACCCCTTCCATAATTCCTTCAGCTGCTGTGGAAATCCGTTCCATGAAGCTCCCTGCGAACTGTTCTTGAGCTAATCTGAAGGCCGCGTAAAGTTTAGAGGTCTGTAGC